AACTCAACCCACCATTGTGAGTGGGTCCATCTTCTTCGGATCAGAAGCCACTCCTGGTTTTCAGTCAGCAAGACTATGAGCCATGACAACATGCTTGCTAGCAAAATAAGGATCACCTATTTCTTTTGTTCTGGAAAATACAAGGAATCCACTTATCTTTACCATTATGTATGGCCACCTCTTGTGTAGTGTGGGTCAGCATTTCTGAGAAGCCAAATGCAAATAAGCTGAATAGTCTTCATTACTATTCCAATCCTTCAAGGGCATCTTTATGCTGTCTAGCTATGCCATAACCAACTTCAGTGAAGCCATGATAATGTCAGGTTCCAGGTTGACACAAGACTACCTGCTGTGCTATTCAAGTACCTAGTTAAGCAGACTTAACCTCAGTTCTATGAAATGCTACACTAGCACAGTGATTCATGTATGCCACTTGCTAGATTTTTTTGCCAAAAGGGGGGGAGGGAGGAAAACCTTAGAAACCTGTCTTTAAAATATTTAGCAGTTTCATCAGGGACTCCTTCTGCAGCTTCAGCAAGGGTGTCCTGTGGTCCTAGCAGATGTCTGACATGCTCTACAGTGGTGGGATATAACACCCTCTCCCCTCAATATGGGCTTTAAATCACTGCATAGTGTCAGTGTGTTGAACAGTATTTAAGAACCTGCAAGGTAATTATTGCCTGATATTTTTCACTACCTTCATGAAAGATGACTGAAGAGCAAATAAGCTGAATAGTCTTCATTACTATCCCAATCCTTCAAGGGCATCTTTATGCTGTCTAGCTATGCCATAACCAACTTTAGTGAAGCCATGATAATGTCAGGTTCCAGGTTGACACAAGACTACCTGCTGTGCTATTCAAGTACCTAGTTAAGCAGACTTAACCTCAGTTCTATGAAATGCTACACTAGCACAGTGATTCATGTATGCCACTTGCTAGATTTTTTTGCCAAAAGGGGGGGGAGGGAGGAAAACCTAGAAACCTGTCTTTAAAATATTTAGCAGTTTCATCAGGGACTCCTTCTGCAGCTTCAGCAAGGGTGTCCTGTGGTCCTAGCAGATGTCTGACATGCTCTACAGTGGTGGGATATAACACCCTCTCCCCTCAATTTGGGCTTTAAATCACTGCATAGTGTCAGTGTGTTGAACAGTATTTAAGAACCTGCAAGGTAATTATTGCCTGATATTTTTCACTACCTTCATGAAAGATGACTGAAGAGGGTATTCTTTACAGTCCAACATTCTTGACCAGGATTTGTGCTGAAACCTACCCTGACAATTGCAATCACAGCCAAGGGACTTTTTTTTTTTGGCAACTGTGAAGAATAAAATATTCCAAGAATATTTTCCCTACTATCCAGGGGCAATATGGAGAAAGTGTCCCAACTATATCAAGATGTTTGATAAACTGTTGTTTGGACAGCAGAGCCAGGAGGTTCACTTGACCACTGTCAGTTTCTTTATTATGTTACAATCCCTCTACGGGATCATGACATCTCATATTCTGGGAGAGAAACTTCAGTGCCATATGCAATATAGATTAAACACACACATTCCCTATGGGATGAACTCACTCAATCTTAGCTCCTTGCTGCCATAATTTCATGTAAAGTCAATAAACTGAAACCACACTGTTCATACACAACACTAGAGTCCCTCCCTCTCTTCTAGTTTATTGTATCAGTGGCTTCATATACACTCTAATGCTCAACCTTCAGTCCCAGAGACTTGCTAATTTTTTTTCTGTTTCCTCTCCCTCTCCCTGAAATGGCTCCTCCTTCCCTCCCCACAGTTGATCCAGGTGTCATTAAAATGTGAACATATATATGCCTCCTCATGGCAATGGTTATCCAAGTTGTATGGTTTTTCATGTACAGTGGTGCCTCGCTAGACAGTTACCCCGCATGACAGTTTTTTCGCTAGACATTGACTTTTTGCGATCGCTATAGCGATTCGCAAAACAGTGATTCCTATGGGGGAATTTCGCTGGACAATGTTTGGTCCCTGCTTCACAAACCGATTTTCGCTAGACGACGATTTTGATAGCTTCCTCCGCGCTCGCAAAACGGGTGTTTTTGGGACGTAAGCTTTGCAAGACAGCTATTTAGACAGCTGATCGGCGGTTCACAAAGTGGCTTTCCTATGGCCGATCTTCGCTAGACAACAACGATTCTTCCCCATTGGAACGCATTAAACAGGTTTCAATGCATTCCAATAGGGAAATGCTTTTCGCTAGACAATGATTTCGAAAAACAGCGATTTCAGTGGAACACATTATCATCATCTAGCAAGGCACCACTGTAATACAAATACGGAACTCCCTCTGGGATTGCTGTTGATTATTGATGGAGATGGAACTGGAATAAGGCCGAAGTATCTTACTGTCTTGTGCAACTATTTCTGCTCTATGTATATGAGTTTCCTTTATTCCATAAAGGAAGGAGACATATCTACATAAATTACACACAAAACTGTTCCATTGTATAGTTTGATTTAGAACTCAGAAGGACAAAATGTGCCTCGTGAATCTTTTATATATCCTCTGGCCATTTCTCTGACCTTTACCATTTGCCTTCACTAATGCCAGGAAAACCACACCACCAAAATTATTTGGTGACTCACAATAGAGGTGGATAACTCCAGTGTCAGTGGGAGCTGACTCTTTATGCTGGCATAGAACAAATGACAAAAAATTTTGAGGCTAATTGCCCTGAGTTAAAAATATATATCAAAGTACACATTATCACTTGCATACTGAGTTGTATACCAGAGGAATTTGGTAACTGTCTCACTGACATAGGAACTGCTTCTGGCAGGTGAGGAGGCAGGAGACACTCTGTTCTGCAGTGCTCCCCAGCCACAGAGAGATGCCAAGGTGGCAAATTCTGGTAGCAAGTATATTGTTAGAATCTGTGGCAGGCACTATATTTCTTCCCTGGGAGTACAGCTTTTCATGGGTGTGGGTGGAGGTTCAGTGTGTCCTTCCATCCCTGCTATAAGAAATCTGTAACCCATAGTGCTGTGAATTTTGATCTATGCCTTTTTTTCTGATTGAAAAGCAGAGCTTACCTGATCTTTGATTTATTGTTGCTCCTCCTTCAAAAAAATCAGATCATATACTTTTAGCATTTTAAAAATTATTTAGAACCATAACTCTTTGATCAAAGGTGAAAATACACATGTAGTTCTTATTGGAGATGGGGATGTGCCCTGTACCTGTATTTAATAGGTATTTGTATAGTTGAAGAATTGTTTCTACTCAATCCCTTTTCTCATTCCAAAGATTCAGTTTTTAAAGCTATAAGCTGTGCCTGATGATATAATCATAGTCTCAGTTTCAATAGGCTCAGTTTCCTGTCTTTGAGCATCACATTCCCAATCTGCTAAATAGTAGCAGCCACAATCCAACACAGAATTCACTTGTCTATTTGTTAAATTAGAATACCATGTTACATCAGGGTTCAGAATGAATTAGTGATCATCAGGTAGCCATCCTAAAGATAGAAAGTCATAGCCAAGCAATCATATAATGCATGCACATATACATACATGTGCACACATTCACACAAATTAGTCAGACAACGCACTTACTGACTGTGATCACCATCTGGAGGGCTACAATTATTAGAAAAGGTATGTACACTTTTCTTTAAAAGTGGATGTAAAATTGATTGTTAAAGCAGTTCCAGTACTGAGTTCACTCTGGATTTATCCACATGTGATTAATAATTAAAATGGAGCCAGTGAAGAAATGTTTGGCTGCTTCAAAGAAGCCAGAGTATTGTTCCATATTTATGGATATGGAACTCCAACTCCACAGCAGTCTCACAAGATGCCATTTGTGTGCCTGTTCACATGCAACTGCCGCCTCATCAGATCAGCATGGCAATTTCCACAGTTGGAACTCTTGCAAGAATAAATATTGAACAGCATACTGACCAATGTCTTAGAGATCCCCAGTCCAAACCTTAAATATCTTCAGTTCCTTTCAGAAACCTTATGACTTCAAGACCAAACATGAGTTTTAAGAACAATTAACTTTATGTTCCCACTTCCTTTGGAGGAAACTAAAAGAAAACTATGTCTAAAACCCACAATCTTTACTTCTTGGATCATTTTCCCAGGAGCAGGAGACTAGGGGATAAATAATGAATATCTTCAGGCTAGTGTTGTGATTAGCATGCTGGGATGGCCCACTTGGAAAGCATGACTAATAAGCATCATATTATTGGTTACTTTATCATTCTAGTATTGTCCTTTGAATTTTCCACTTCAGGCACCAAAATGTTTCGGAAAGTACAGCTTAGGGATTTAATTTTGTCAAGATATACTCTATTAAATAATGTTAAGATGTGTAGTTATGACAAAATAGAGTCATCTGTGTTGTAGACACTGGTTTTATTTGGCTACAATTGTTATGACCTACCTCGTTTATATACACTTACATGTCTTGTGGAATGATTTTATTGCCTCACTGAAGAACAGAAAGGGCCATTGTCCACACACTTTTAATCACTTTTATTTTCTGGAAATATCTTGCTTCTAGTAAATAGATTGTCAGTTCCTTTCTTACAAACTGAAATTTTGCATTCCTACCACAGCAACTAGAGATATGGAGAATTTCTTGGAAAATTACTTATGCCTGTGCTGCAGGGTCAGAAGACCAAGCAGTCGTAAGATCGAATCCACGTGACGGAGTGAGCGCCCGTCGCTTGTCCCAGCTCCCGCCAACCTAGCGGTTCGAAAGCATGCAAATGCAAGTAGATAAATAGGGACCACCTCGGTGGGAAGGTAACAGCGTTCCGTATCTAAGTCGCACTGGCCATGTGACCACGGAAGATTGTCTCTGGACAAACGCTGGCTCTATGGCTTGGAAACGGGGATGAGCACCGCCCCCTAGGGTCGAACACGACTGGACAAAAATTGTCAAGGGGAACTTTTACCTTTACCTTTACTAGAGATATGGAGAATTTCTTGGAAATTTTTTTTTTCTTTTCAGACAGGCTGTCTTGATACAGTGAAACAATGTGTCAAGAAATTGCTGACCCCACTTGGAAAGAAGACAAGGAACTTTTCTTCATCAGTGGGTTTTCCAAACTGTTGCAAAATGTAACTGCACACAACTAGATTTCCTTTTGTGAAAGAAACCACACAGAGAAAGACAGTCACGAAGCAACTGAAAAAGGACTGGCTGAGTGATCAGAATGATTCAGATAAACTATCCAGTACTTCTTATTTTTAAAAATCCACACAGCAAATTAGAAGCTGTTGTGCTATTGTGCAATTTATACAAAACACACAGAAGTAATTGTGAGCACTAGACATCTCTAAGAGAAAATACCTCACCATTCTGCATGGTGAGGAGGAAAATGCTGTGGTTATTTAAGAATGAGACAGGCAGAAATTTACATCCCTACCAACAGAGTTTGTGATAGCCTAAAAGGTAAGCAACCAGTTTATGGTGAAGCTGCTGAGCAATTTATTCCACCTTCTAAGCAAGGAGTTAACAAGAGTGGGTATGGTGGTGAAAGAGTAACTATCCACCTTAATCACTAAGGTTTCAGTGGCTGAGGTGACACCATCTTTTTCTTCCTCCTAATCACCCAAACTAATCTCAATGTAGTCACAACCACGAGATAATCATAATCTTTGTAATTTTTAGTGGAAGAAAGCAGAACACCCTCTGAGTCTTTTTTAGTCACATCTGAGGCCCCTGATATAAAAATCCATTTCTTTTTAAAAGAGCGAGGGTGCCAGCAAAAAGAAGAGGTTAGATCAAATGAATTTGGAAGATGTGGTGTGGAGAATTTGCTTTCGGTCCTACCTGACAAGAATGTCTGATTCAGGACTGCAGAAAGCAGATGGGAAAGAAGTGGGGAATGTGTGGCTTACATTCATCAGCGGGAAGGTCATGCTACAGGTTGTCCCAGAGACAATTGCAATTGCATTAGTACTTTCGAGCTTGACATTAAATGTCATGTTCAATTGCAGTGCATTTAAGGTGATGCCTGTGGCTGTTTCGGAGTAGTGAAAAGGCAGAGCCAATGTTTTACCGAATAATAAACAAGAGATTAGTGGCAGTATGGCTAAACCCTATGGAAAGGCAGAAGGGGGAAATCCATCCTTAACTTCACTTGCTGAGCTTCATCTTTTCACAGTTTCAGAAATTGATATGTTCCTTCTTCAGCTCCCTGCCACTGCATGTCACAATGAGAATTAAAAAACTGTATTAATAAAAATTCCCCTTTTTACTTTATCTTTCATTAGGATTTTTTTTAAAAAAAACATAGGTTTCTTCATATCTGGGATAGAAAGAATGTGGGGTGATTACTGAACTGAATTGAACTCAGGCCAGTCCTGGATTGGATCCACATTCAATCATGGTATTCCAAATGAGAACCAAATTGGTCTGAATCATTTTGAATCCATTTAGAAGTTTGAACGCTGAAAGAAAGCCAGACAGTGGGCCTCCAAGATATTCATAGAATTATAGAATCATCACAGGGTTGGAAGGGACCTTGGAGGTCTTCTAGTTCAACCCCCTGCCCAAGGCAGAAGACCTCATACCATCTTGGACATCATACCATCCCAGACAGATGGCTGTCCAATCTTTTCTTGAAAACCTCCAGCAATGGGGCACCCACAACATCAGGAGGTAAGCTGTTCCACTGTTTAATGGTTGTCACCATCAGAAAATTCCTCTGACAAGTTTCCACCCATTGGTTCTTTTCCTAAACTCAGGCGTGATGGAGAGTAAATCGCCTCTTCCCTGTGGCAGCCCTTTAGATAGTGGAAGACTACTATCATGTCTCCCCTCAACCTTCTCTTATTAAGCTAAACATACCTAGTTCTTTTAGTGTGGCCCCACTAGCGTGGTATAGAGTGGTAATATTTAAAACAGGAATATAGAAGAAAAACATCCAGTGGTGACAGACTGCAGGGAAAAGGAGATGATGAAGTCAAATTTTCATTAGCACCTTCCAATAGAGAGGAGGAGGGTGAAGAGTTTTATTTTGCTCATTCAGAATACAATTATTGGGAAAAATGTCTAGGATCATGGTGGCAGTTTTGTGTTTGTTTTACCTTGTTTTTCTCTTTCCTTCATCTTACCAGTATCATTTAGAAATGTGACTCTCACAGCCTCTTGCTCATCGAGAGAAACTGAGAAACTTTTTTTTTCATAGCTAAATTTCTCTGCACAAGATTCACCTCAGCTCTTCTCAGGAAATCTTGTGAGAATTTTTGCAAGTTTCCTGTTTGTTTTGTTTTCCTAGCAGAAATGCCAAACTGTGTAGGAATGCTAAAGTTCCCACACAGAATGGCATCTTTCCTGAGCAGGATCTACTTGGAGAGCACAGAAGAAACAACAGATATCCAAGATTGTTGCTAATCCTGTGCAAAATCTTATAATTTCTGCGTAGGATCCACTGGAAATAGTATCAAGCTAGGCAGAATCCAGCATTGTCCTTCACAAAATAAGGAGAAAAATAATGAGAGGTTAAGAAAAGTTAGGCCAACTTCTGCTTTTTGTGAGAAATCAGGAAGTCTCCCTGATGTAGCAAAAAGTCTTGGAAGGAAGCCACTACATGGTGAAGCTCAGAAAATCTTTGAGAATAAGAAATTTTACAAGTGTTCATCAAATCCCTTACACCAACCTTTAATAGCCTTTTCTTTCTCTTTTCCAGTACAATCCCATTCTTTGTTATTATATAATTACTGTTTAACTAATAAGATGAAGGCTGTTTTTCCCTATTTCTGTTTATCTCTCTGCATATATATTTCTATGTGTGTCTGCTAGTTAGAGAGTAAATGTTATTGGCCAAGAAGCACGCATACATTGTTACCAAAGTATCAAAGAACAGCACCCCTTAGTATACTTTAAATGCATTAAAACCATTTTTCAAATGACTATCATAAAAAAACATAAACTTACTGGTCTACAAATTGTTCAGAGTTAAACGCCTTCAAAGTTGCAACCAAATTGCCAGCATTTTCGTAAACAAAGATATTGCTTCGAGGCACATTTTAAAGGCAGCAAGCACAAATCCCATATTTATTATATTTATCTGTCATTTGGCAGGATGATTGGCTATACAACAGCTATTGTGTAGTCAGCCATCATGACCTTCTGAGAAAAACAAACAAACAATGTATCCTTAATTTTCATCCCTAAATCAACTGACTTCTGAATTTTGACTTACATTTGAGTTCACATTGGTTTGTATTGGTCCAAATTGAGGCACAGCCAAACTGGCATGCCTGAATCATCAAATTGATTCAGAGAGTTCTTGTACAATGCTATTGAAAACCATTGAATGAAATAGAACCAGCACTAATAAATCTATTTATTCAGTCTGAAAACATTGACTAAGTAACTCTTAAAATTGGATTTGTTTGTATGTATGTATGTATGTATGTATGTATGTATTTCTGAACCATGTTGCCAATTTTTTTCTGGCAAGCTTCTTATCTTTTATACCTATATAGCAAGGAAGTACAATATAGCCCTTTTCATGTTCAGTTAAGTTGTATCTATTGTATCTAGTTCATGAAGATGAGATAGAATTTCATTTCTATTTAGCTTTATAAGAATTACCAAAAATTGCAAATGTCATTATATTCGGGGGGGGGGGATGATGCTTGAAAAACTCAGATGTAGAAATGATATATTTTTTCACTCCTGACTCCAGTTTCTTGGGACTATACTGGCAACATGAAATCTCTGGTAAATGTTAGGCAACAGAGAAAGTTTAAACATTTTAGACTCAGTTTAAAAGTACAAAGCTTGCAATATTTTCAAAAGATTAACAGGATTGTGACGAACTTATGGTCCATAATTGGATCTCTGAAGATTGCTTCCAGAAAAATTGGGAATGAGTATCCTGACAGGATTGATGACCCATAAAGTTCTGCTTCCAACACCTCACCAACCTTTCTCTGCTTTTTCTTTGGCATCTGCTTCCTTACTCTCAGTGAAAAAAAAGCTACTGAGTTCTATCCCAGCCACCACTCAGATTCTTTATTGAATCCTTCTGCAAATAAAAATTCTGCATCAGGAGTTGGTGTAAGAAGTCCATGCCACACCATTCCCTAGGATGCTGTGATAGAAGCTGTAGAGAGAGCTGAATAAACACAAAGTACAGTGGTGCCTCACTAGACGATGATAATCCGTTCCACTGAAATCGCTGTTTAGCAAAATTATTGTCTAGCGAAAAGCATTTACTCATTAGAATGCATTGAAACCTGTTTAATGTGTTCCAATGGGGAAGAATCGTCATTGTCTAGCGAAGATTGGCCATAGGAAAGCCACTTTGCGAACCGCCGATCAGCTGTTTAAATCGCTGTCTTGCAAAGCTTAGGTCCTGAAAACACCTGTTTTGTGAGCGTGGAGGAAGTTGTCAAAATCGTTGTCTAGCAAAAATCGGATTGCGAAGCAGGGACCAAACATTGTCCAGCGAAATTCCCCCATAGGAATCACGGTTTTGTGAATCGCTACAGCGATCACAAAAAGTCAATGTCTAGCAAAAAAAACCTGTCATGCGGGGTAACTGTCTAGTGAGGCACCACTGTATGTGTTCAATAAATTCAGCTGCCTTCTATCTTTCTTTCTTTTCTGAATGGTGTCAGAGATGTCATTTCAGAAATTATTTAAGTTAGGACTACTTAGGTTTAGCAGTAAGTCAGAAAGTCAATGGCTGAGCTATTTATGTTATTCTTAGTTGCCAGAAACAATTACCTTGAACTCTGAGTGAATCATCATGGGAGCAATGGAAAAAGAAAAAGAGAGGGTCAGGGGACATTTGCATGTACATATGCAGTGCTCCTTCTGCAGTTGAAACCTGTAATGACCAAACCAACAACAGTGACTTCATGACTTCATTCATTGTATAAACACCGTAAAATACAGTAGTGGGTCTGGTTTTTTGTTCGTGTGTGTAAAATGGTACACCGAAAAGTAACTGTGGCCAGTATCCAACTGTATAGCTTCACGCTTGCAATAGGAAGGGCATCAGCAGCAGTGGCAGGTCAATTAAAGAGTTCCTTTCTCAATTTCAGGGTGTGTACAGCATGCTGTCATTTTCAGTAGACTGTGAAACTGAAAAAACAACAACAACACAGTTCTTTAATTAGCAACACTCAGCCAGTAGCATCACCCCTTTTGCACAG